GCTTCAAAGGCTCAAAAGGGGTTAGCAAGGGATTATCTTCCTTATATCTCCAGTGTTTAGGGATTTGAAACAATGCCTGTACATCACCAGCAAGATTTTATCCAAAAGCATGCAACCAGAGATTTTGTGTTCTTTAGATCATCATCCTCCCTTCAATCTCTGACTAGGCAAGAGAATAAGCAACAATTTGGTATCATAGTGCAAAAATCAATTTAAAATTTGAAAACAAATATGAGTGAAACGAATGAATTTCTTCAAGACAAACATACTCATTGTATTAAGATAATCATTCAGATGCAAACAAGTTCTTACATGCAAACAATGTTTTGATAAACAAGAAAAATTACAAAAAGCATAAATAAGTTAATAATCTAGGAAGGCTTTCCATCTGGACTTGAATTACCGAAAACATCCTTCAAAAATCAAAGTCACTATCAATCGTGTTTACTCTTCGGCACGTGCTTGATTTGAACTTCAAAACCAGCGTCCTTGAATGACAAGATACCACTTCTGACCAACTTCTGAACCTCAATCTTCAAAGCAAAGCAACCCTCCAAGTCATGCCCAGGAGCACCTTGATGAAAGGTACAAGCCAAATCAGCTTTGTAGTACCAATGTATCTTCTTAGGAACCTTCGGTGGAGGTCGGGTCTAAACCAAATTCCTCTGCATCAGGATAGGGAATAACTCTGTATAGGTAACTGGAATTGGATCAAACTGGGTTTTCCTCTGATTAGGAACTTGCTGATTCTATTGATGAATAGGATAAACATGATGATTCTGACGATGATTATTTCTTCCTCTGGTTCTCTTCTTGGAAAAGTCATTATCAAACTTCTTCACACCATTAGTTGAGCTACCAACTTCATATAAACATCCCTTTCAGACATCTTCTTCTAGACGCACTCCCACATTCACCTTGTCAGGAAAGTCATTAGGTGCATTAACCATCACCTTCTCATGAGAGAATGATTTTAGGGTTTCAGTGAAGATTTTTATCATCGCTTCCTCCATCCTAGAAGGATTGACTTGGGCGGTAACCAAAATTTCAACCCAAAACAGTCGAGTGTTCCATACCAGCTTTCAAAATAGTCATCTCTCTGCGGAGTTCAGAAACCTCTTGCTTGATATTCTCTATTGTTCTCTTAGCGCGAGTGTTGTACTGGTGAGACCAAAGGAAAAATAAGACTCTGAAAAAGACCTTTGAAAGTGAAACAAAAAATGTAGAATGATGTATGATATGCAAAAGAGAGTTTTTATTTGATTTTCAAGGAAATCAAGATATTAAGTTGTAAACATCAAAGTATGAAGATAGAAGATGAATTTTAAATTGGCTCCAAACATTGATCAAGTTATCATCAAGATCAATCATCCATTTTGGTGGATTAGGGTTTTCGCCCTATCAACACCCAAGATCCATTGAGCTTGACGAAACTTGTGATGTTTACAAAGAAAGACCTCCAAATTCCTTCAAAGCCAAGTGAAAAGGGTTTTATGGATGTATGAATGCATGGCTATGCAACAACCACAAGCAAGGTCACAAATAAAGTCGAAAGGTTCAACGTCACGAGCATGAAGTCAAGGGTAAAGAACATCCCCAAGGTATGTACTAACAGTTTAATCACACCTGTAGAACAAGGTTCTAAGAGTTCCCGAAGTCTACATTCCTCCTTCGGATATTACCAACGTCTTGATTACTCAATAATCAGCAATATTCTCAAGAGAAACTCATCTGAGCGTAGCATCGCGTAACAATTACTTCCAGATTACTCCATTATAATCTCCGCGCTACACCTAAAAGGCCAAGATGGGTTAGGGTTCTACGGTTCCCAGCTTCTCTGGCTCCCAGGTCGAAAATAATAATGTCTTCCCGATTACTCGGTAAACAAATATTACGTTCAAAAGGGCCTTCCACTGAGTGGGGGATCTCATGCCTCCTTCTTCGGGATTACTCCCTCAAAGTTAACATGACTATACCGCCTGTCCTATTCCTAAGTGTAACTTAGTCCTGGAGGAGCAATGATCTTGACTACCATGGATGGTGACGACCTGCCACACCCTGTAAACGTAGACATAGTCAAAAGATACTACGCATAAGAGACCCGCTAGGTTTACACACCTAGGAAAAACAAGGGCATCCCGACGGACCAAAAAGGCTCGGGAAAAAATTAGGGACAAAAACAAAAAAATATGTACACCCGGCAAGTTGAAAACCCGAAAGGGAGACTTGGGAAAAAAAGGGTATCCCGGTGCACTGAAAACCCGAAAGGGCGGTCCAAGCAAAAGTTAGGGAATTAAGGCGTATGACTATGTCCCGTTGGATCACCTTACGGACTACTTGCAAACTCGATATTTCTAACCAATTCAATCATCTTCGGACAAGGAAACAAATAAACAAGATGCTCAGAGATACGAAGGCTATAGTAGAATGGGAACCCCATGGGATTATTACACATAGCTATCTTTTCTTTATATTAAAATTTTAATTTTTACGACGGTATTCTCTTACTAGAATGTTTGTCTAACTGTACAAAAATACTTACTCAAAGTCAATACAAAGATATCCATTTGAAAGTGCAAAACTATCTGTTTTTTTATTTACTCTTGTGTTTTGTTTACAAAAAACGTCCAATGATTCATTGTTGAACATATACATTTGAACATAATTACTGTTTACAAATAAACAAAATAAAAGACAATTACTAATGGCTTTAAGAAATAGGATGATATCTTTAGACTATTCCATAAAATTCCCAGTGTACAGCTTAGTCCCCAGCGGAACAAGACCTCCAATTATCACTCCCCGGTAGAAGTAGCCCAAATTTCTCAGGATTCCCCAACAGGATTTCACAGGAAATACACAGCATTTTCCTTACAACAGAGTTTATTTCTCTGAACGGAAATTCATCAACACTTCAACTTCAAGACATGAAGGCTTACATATCGTCAGTAACATTCAGGGATTTATTTTCCTCAATCCAACAAACAGTGCAATAGACTAGCTCACATACACATACACTGCATCTGCATATCATAAACATTGATAAAACGAATGCATTATATCATACATTTCATATAACATAACTTTGCATTTTAGCTAACATTTTACCCTTTTCAGGAAAAGATTAACAGCTACCTGTAGCGGTGAAAATCGGAGATCAAGCTATTAATTAACTTGACTCGCAAAAGCAAGAGTCGCCACCGCGCTTTATTATTTCCAAGGGAAAAGGGAAAAGAGCGAAATAAAACCCTAAAATATGCAATGTAAAATAATACTTGAAAGTAATGAAAGTACAATGCGTTTTTAAAAGAGATCTAAAGTTCGGGGTTGGTTATGTAATGGGAAGGTGTTAGCACCCAATGCATCTGCGGTACTCCGCAGGAACCTTTTGAAATATCTGTTTTTTGGTTTAAAATTGTTTGTTTGATTAAAATGATTCGTTTGGCTAAAAGATGGGTATGGACGAGATTTTGAAAATGCGACGACCTAGTGTCGAAGTTTTGACTTAAAAGGTGTGAGTTTGAAAATGGAGTCTTTTGGGAAAATTATCTTGAGTTTAGCAAAATAGTAAACAAACAAAAAAATGAAAAAAGGGTATTCGCACGATCGGATGAGATGTGTTTGATAACATGAAGTCAACAAAGTTAAAACATTTCCCTTGGATTTAGACAAACAAAATATAAAGACTAAATGATCGAAAATGGAAAAACAATTTAAACAATTAAATAATTAACAATAAAAATAAATGAAAGAGAAAATTAAACTAATGTATTTTTATGGTATTTTTTATGAGGCGAAGAAAAAAACTAAATATAAACATATTCTAATACTTTTTGTATTTTTGTATAGTTTAATAATAATAATAATAAATATCATAAAAAAATAAAATAACTAAAATTAAATTAAATCATAAGAAATTAAGCTGGTTAGTTACATAGAAAATATTAAATAAAAAAAAGAGTTAATTATTAGTATGAGGCATTTAGACAAAGATAATAAATCTTATATATAAAAAAGGATAAATGATAACATAACATAAAAGAGTAGTAACAAAAAAAATAGAAATTTGAAAATAAAATAAAATAAAAATTGGGTGGAGGCACGTGGGATGTGGAACCACCTAATATCTTTTGTTTTATATTAAAAATTAAACTAACAAAAATGTATATTTGACTTTTTCAAACCTTTTTAAAAAAAAGGAGAAAGGTTAGCAAATGATGCACCAGGAAATTATATAAAAGAGAAATAAAATAAAATAAAATAAACAAAAACTCACTCTATTCTTCTCACTCAATTGCATATTTAAACATAAACATATCAATCTGGTCAAACAACAAACAATCTTTCCTTCAGATCCAAACAAAATAACAACAAAATCTTAGAAAAGATGGGTACCAACAATAGAGCATGGTGGTGATGCGGGTTCATCGAAATAGGGTCGTCCACGCGGTGGTGAATCGACAGAGGTACTGTGTTGGGAGTGCAGCATTCGTCGGAGGTTCTTGAATGGCTTCGGCGCGGAGATCGCAAACTGGTCAGAGGTCACCGGATCCATTCTTCCCCTTTTCACGATATCTTAACTCTCTCGCTTTACCTTCTTCATTGTTTTCCCAGGTATTACATTCTTTCATCTGCAAGAGATAACAAACAAAGGGTAAAAGATGACACTTATCGCGGTGCAATGGCTTCTCGTGGTGACACTGTGTGTAGCGGAATCAGAGGGGTCCGGATCTGCAAGGAGTTGTTGGTTTGCGTCGGGAGTTTGTACCGGTGATTGAGGTGTGATGTTGGCAGTCCGTCGTCGGTGGAACGTGAGATGGTGGACATCGAGATTTTCTTCTTCTGCTTTCCCTTTGATCCTGAAAAAAGAGCACAACAACTTTGTACCAATCGATATGTTGCTGCAACAACTTTGAGGTTTGTCAACTTTGACTTTGATGTTTAATGGTTTGAAATTTTGAATATGGTTATAGTTTGTGTAGAAATTTTGCAGGTTGTGACTATTTTGGAGTGAGGGATGAGTTTGTGTGTGTGTTGTTAACGTTATCTGTTGAGGGAGAGAAAGAGAGAGTGGAAATTGGAAATGACGGTTGAGCAGAGGCGGAGGGAATCACGGTTTGGTGATGGTGTTGATGGTTCGGTGATGGTTTGTGTGAGGAAATTGGTGATGTTTGGTAGCAGTGAAGGGTAAATCGGACATGAAGGGGGTGGTGAAGGAGAATGAGAAGAGAGAGTTTTGTGAAAATCTTCACTGCTGATGTTACTCGAGTTAGAGGTAATATTGTTGTTGGTTTCATCAGTAGTAGTGTTTCCTCCTCCAACAGCATTGAACAAAGCACAAGCAGTAGCCATATTAAGATGAAGAAAGAAGATCAATATTGAGTATGAGTTCAGTTAGAAATAGACATAGTAGTAGTGTTGTGTTGGTTTAAGAGGAAAAAAACCATGTGTTGGTTCTAAAGTTACAAGGAGATAACGTTGTGAAGATTGAGATAGTAGCTAAAGGATTCTCTTCTCTCATAGGACTGAGTAATTGAATTGAAAAAAAAAATGAAAGGATTCTCTCTCTATAGACTATAACACAATAGAACATGGTTCTCTATGCCTTTTTTCCTTTTTGATGTTTCTGATATCTCTCCCTTTCTTTGGCATGGGGAGGGTAGCCAGTGTGGAGAGAGGGAGTATTACTGGGTGAGTTGTTTTTGTTGTTTTTTGTGTTTTTGTATCGATCCTCAATTTCATTCAACAGCCAATAGGAATAGAGTATTGTGTGAATAATATATTTTGTGACCAAATAGTCCTTACATGATAAAAATAACCAAAAAACTAAATGTATTAAAATTAACTCAATTTAAAATGATTTTCTTTGAATATTTTATGAATAAAAAATAAAGACCCAAAATGACCGAAAATGATAAAAAAACGGACGAAAATTTATCCGAAAAAATAAAATGAACACATTAAAATAAACTACATGTAAAAAAGATTAAAGAAAAAAAATATTCAAAAAGTCAAAGTCAAAATAAAATGAGAATAAAAATATCAGGCTGAACAGACGTTTACGGTTAAAAATGAAACTTCAAACTACACCGAAAAAATAAAGCGAGCATATCGTCATAATCTACGCGAGAGCAGATTCATAAAATGATCGGTAAAAGGTGAAAACTTGAAATATTTTCCCGCTACTTTCCCGCATAGTGTCGAATCGCTTTTAACAGTCTGTCTATAAAACTGAAATATTTCATTATCGACATATAAACAATTTGGAGCAGTGCAAGAAAATAGTAAACAGATAAAAATGAGTGAAGTGAAATGTCGGGTATTTTACAACTGAAAGACGATGCAAACTTTGATTTAAACTGACTTTTCTGGTCAACTTAAATACGACTAATGATGCAAAATGTGATGAATGAAGATATTTACTAATGATTGTGACCAAATAACAAAATATGATATGAAAGTGCGACTAAAATATATTAGGGGTGAAATTTAGGGTGCAACAGTTGTGCCTTGATGAATCAGTCTTCAAGAATCCACAATCAACCGTACTTCTGGCTTGGGAGACTCAAAACCTTAATTGAGGCGCGACACCTGATGCTCTTGATTCAGACCTGTCTCTGCACATGAAACAAAAGAAAACATGAACATACACCTTTGTATGCGATTAGAAATTAGTGATACATAGGCTAAAAATGTTCAAAAACACTTGACAATCTTCGCATAGTCAAAGCTCGAAGGTGAGAGGTTAAAACCGACCGTATTTCATGACCTTGACTTATCTTTAAAAAATGCAAAAATAAAAATGGGATCTTAGGTCAAAAATTGGGGTACAACACTACCATTAACAATGTTCAGAGTTTTCAAATACAGTTCAGATACGCTCCAGACACGGATGCCATTTTGATACTCATTCAGATTCAACTCTCAAATATAGTTCAGATGCGCTCCAGACACGGATGCCATTCTGATACTCATTCAGATTCAACTTTCAGATACAGTTCAGATACGCTCCAGACACGGATTCCATTCTGATACTCATTCAGATTCAACTTTCAGATACAGTTCATATACGCTCCAGACACAGATGTCATTCTGATACTCATTCAGATTCAACTCTCAGATACAGTTCAAATATGCTCCAGACACGGATGCCATTCTGATACTCCTTCAGATTCAACTTTCAGATACGCTCCAGACACGGATTCCATTCTGATACTCATTCAGATTCAACTTTCAAATACAGTTCAAATACGCTCCAGACACGGATGCCACTCTGATACTCATTCGGATTCAACCTTCAGATACAGTTCAGATACGCTCCAAACACGGATGTCATTATGATACTCATTCAGACTCAGCTTTCATATACAGTTCAGATACGCTTCAGACATGGATGTCATTCTGATACTCATTCAGATTCCACTTTCAGATACAGTACAGATACGCTCCATACACTGACACCATTCTGATACTCATTCTTTCAGCTTACAAATTACAATTCAAAAATCACACTTGGATGGCATCTACAAGCCCATCTCCAACAACTTTCTATCAACTCTCCAAATGGAATCTTTAAGCCCATTCCCTCTACCATCACATTGCTGAGTGCAAATTTCTGGGCACTCTAGTGTCCAATCATCTTCCACCTTCGAGTCACGAATGGAAAAACATGCCCATTTAACTCTTCAGGTTTAAGAAGATTGAATAGGGGCAGATGTTGTACCCCAAAATATTCCCTCTCACTTATCAAGAATTTTCTCACAAGATCTACTTGGGCTCAAGACTACACTAGGGTTTGATCAGCTCAAGACACCTCCTTATGCATTGATGACCAGAATTAGGGTTTGAGTTTGCACAAAGACATTTGAACTTTAAATGACTCATATGAATTTCATGAGTCATTATGGACTCCCAAGATTACTCATGTCAAGATTCAAGCCTTGGATTACATTTTTGATCAGTCAATTGAACAGTTGACATAAAAATCAACTATATTAGGGAAAAGTCAACCATGGCCAATTTACAGTCAAACTTCATAATTTTTTATCCACGTCAACATTTTGGACTCATATGTATCATTATATCAAGTTTGGACCACAATTCCTCAAGAAATTTGATCAAATCATCAAAAGGGCAAAATGGTCAAAATTAGGGTTTTTATTGAGAAAGGGCAATTTCTGATTTTTGACCTAGAAAATGATCAATTGGTTTGAAGCATGATTTCAAGAGTTAAAATGCATAACTTTTACCTAATGACATGGTTCAAAACATTGCAAGTCCATTGGATTGGCAGATGATTTTTGCAGTCAACTGATCAAAAGTCAACTGTATATTGAAAAGTCAAACTTTGACTTTTTGGTCAAATTCAAGTGCCAAAGAACATAATTCATCAAAATATGTCAAAATATGAAACTTATTAATCAAGAAATCAAAAATTTAATATTTCATTTTGAAAAGTCAAAATTTCTAAACTTAAATTTTTTTCTAAGTGTTGGAAAATTCATGTTTTTTCATAACTTTGAGCCAAACTTTCATCATGATGCAAGATAATTCAAGAGAAACTTCCAACATGAAAGTTGTAAATCTCCATGAAATATACAACTTTGCTTCACACAACTTCTTCCAAAAGTTCTTGGATCTCAATTTATAATTTCAAGAACATAGGATCATAAAACTAAACACTTAGTGAAATTTTGCCCTAATTTGGTCAGGATTTTGACCCAACTTCATGGAACTTTTTCATATAGTCCCAAGGGGAATCATCAAAATCAATTCAAATATGGGTTGTAGAGCACATTGCAAGCTTTCCAAAATTTCCAAGAACTCCTTGAGATCCTTCTTGAGTATGGAGAATCGAAGAGATGAAGTTGGTGTTTTGTCAATTGAGTTACAAGGCATTTTGTGATGAACAAGAATCCAATTTCAAACCTATGATGCGCAATCTTGTTTTGAAGGCTTCTAAACCTCAAGATGTCTCCATAATCATAAGATTACACTTGCTTTTGAACTATTATCCAAGTGTTCCAAGCATTGTCCAAGCCAATTTGCCATTTTTGGAAGAAAGCTACCATTCCATTCTTGAAAAGTAGCTTTAATCACAAATTCAACTTGTCTTGAGCTTCTAACTTGTTCTTTATGAACACATAACTCCTATAAACCAAAATCAATGTGTCTAAGACCTAAGAAAGCTAAGAACATGCTTGTACAATACTTGAGATTTGTCATTTCACTTTTCTTCAAAAGTAAGTTATAGAGCTATAACCCTATAACTCAGAAACCTGGAGTGATTTTATGCTCTAATCTTTTCCATACATATTAACAAGTTTATTGCAATCTAAGAAACGATTTCAGGCATTATAAAACTCTCCCAAACACCTTTGCTGCACAAGACTGCTTAGCTTGACAGTTTTGAGCCAAAACTCTCCATCTCCATTTCCACTCGTGCGTTTTGATTCTTAATCATTCAAACACCTCACATACATCATACACAAGTGATCTAAGTCCCTGTTTCAAGACTGTAACCCCTCCATCATCATTCACCATTTTCAAACATCAAGCTTGCGGGTTGACTTGAGTAGGGAGATTCAGGGACTTTCAAAACAAAGTAGGAGTTGGAATACATTCAAGGAGGTCCAGGCAAGCTATAGAAATCATCAGGCCCTCACAAAGGTTGCTCAAACTCCATACGCGAATCCAGTTGTAAGAGGTAAGTTTTCAAACTTCTATCTCTTCATACAGGCATCATTTGAGTTTGGTTTGTGAAGATAAAAAGTAGATACCATTGCCACGAAGCTGTACATATCCATAGTTTACATTTATATGGCCTGAGATTAGAGAATTTTAGATTTGAACTTTCTGAAAAAATTATGTTTCAATTTAGGGCTAGCAAAATTAATCTTCATCATTGACTTTTAGCTTACATAAGTTATATGGTTGGATTCGTGAGGAAAAATAGCACAACTTTCATGTTTGCATTTTCCATTTTTGTTGAGAAATGAATGAGATACAGGTGGTCCGGCTGGCTGAAGGTTGAAGACGAAGTACAGGCCATGGAGATGTTTTACCTTATGTATTTATTCTTGCATTTAAGTTAACGGATGTACAGTCACCCCAGTGGTAAGGCAGCACGCGTTATTGGTAGAGGTCGTGGGTTCGAACCTCAGCGTTTCCTTTTGCAATTTTTTTTGCATTTTTTGTCTTTTTTGTTCCTTCCATCGTATGGGCCTCCCACATCCTGGGCCTGAATTTTTTTTCTAACCTTCCCCCCTGTTTCATATTTGCACCCTGGCCCAATTCAATTTTATTTCTTCATTTTGTATTTTACTTA